TTTGCGTGGGGGGGGGGGGAGTTCCCCCCCCCCCCGCTTAGTACGGGAGGACTGCAAGCCGCCGCTCTGATGTTTCGTTTCAACTTTACTCATTCTTCATATGTAGATCAAGTAGATCTCACCAACAGGTATGTTTATTTACCGCCCGACCTCCACACGCTTGATGGGATATGCGTCGCTTAGTCCTTGCAGGAACACAGCGGACAGACTGTCGGGGCAAAGGAAAGCCTCAATCCACCAGCAGCGCGCCGGGCGAGAGGCAACCCTCAGCGCCCCATGACCCATTACAAGGATCCCCAGGGAGTGCACACATTCGCACCCCCTCTCTAACCGCTGGTTTGAATGCCGCATCCCTGAGAGCCCCCAGGAGACACAGCTGCCATCAGCTCGCTGAAACCCCGCATCCTTGAACTGCAGTTTTTTGATGGGTCTACTGTCACGAACTTCTATGAACTTTTAAAGCAGTTTGTGGCAGTTCGTGGATAGAGCAGAAAGCAGGGGTTTAAAGGTACTCTATAAAACCCCTGCTTTCTGCACTCCACTGCTCCGCTGTTAAGGGCTTTCTTGTGCAGTCCCTTTAGTTTAAAGGGACTGCACAAGAAAGCCTGAAAAACAGCTGAGCTGTTTTTGTGGCTTTTGGAAAGCCCATTTAGAGGCACTGTGGTCCCTTTCAACGATTTACTGGGGGCCATGAACCATGGACTGGTTCGGTTTGCCAGGGAACTCCTGGTTCAGTTTGTGGTTTGGTTCATGGTTCGGCCACGAATTGAACTGAATTTGTGCCTATCCGTACATGGGATGCTCTAACCTCTGAGCCACAATCCCTCCCCTCCTTGGTGAATTAAACTCATCTTTCCAAAATAGAAAGTTCTCCAGCCTGCAGTATTTTTGTATGCATTTCTGGTTGTGTCCACACGAATTTTTGTGGGGGGTGGGCAGAGACAATGAGCTTCTCTATGCAGTATGCAATTCCTGAGCTATTCACTGAGCTGTTCACATCCCATCCTGTTTCTCCTTACTATAATAAGACATGATTGAGCGTGTTGTGTAGGAGATGGATACTAGGATCAGAGAGACCCAGGTTCAGATCCTTCTCACTCTTAGGTAACCAAAAAGGTTGGAAAAAACAAAAAAGAAAAAACCTTATGTATGGAAATATAAATGTAAATTACAAAAAAAAGCTAGAATTGTATTCCAAAAACTTTAATCAACTTATAAATATTAAAAACTGCATCAGTTTTTAATTTTGTATATAGGTACCCTCCCCTAGTGTAAAAAATCTTTTTAGTAAAATTGCCCTTGTACACATGGGGATGCTACACTCTTACAACCACCCTTCCTATGACAGGCACACTGTCATTCCCTTTGGTAGAGGAACTTCCCCATTCTGCCTCACCCTCCAATAAGCAGACCTGGGAGAACGGTGGTTGATCTCACTGCTAGAAATGCCTGTAAGCCAGCGTCAAATGCCGCACACATCTTTGGGAGCGGGGAGGGAGAACAGTCTTACCTTCATACTATTCTTGCTGCTGGTCACCACTTGCATAGTGATAACGTGTGCCTGGTTTTTCAGGAGATCGGCCCGAGGCCCTATCTTCACGTAGGATATCGTCGCGAACGCTGTGAAACTGAAGTCTTCTCTGCAAGAAATTAAGTGATTGCTGCCTCCTGTACAATGTCATAAACCTCCATCCATACTTCTTCAGGCACTCTGTCTATCAAATCTAGTCAAACCTATTGTTCACCTCCACTGTATATTCATCAGTGATATGCTCTGGGTCAAACCTGAATGGCCTAGTGGTTTAAGAACATAAGAACATAAGAGACGCCAATGTTGGATCAGGCCAAAGGCCCATCCAGTCCAACACTCTGTGTCACACAGTGGCCAGAAATACCAGTGCCATCAGGAGGTCCAGCAGTGGGGCCAGGACATTCGAAGCCCTCCCACTTTTGACCCCGCCCAAGCACCAAGAAGACAGAGCATCACTTGCCCCAGAGCCCCTATCTATACCTTGTGGCTAATAGCCACTGATGGACCTCTGCTCCATATGCTTATCTAATTCCCTTTTGAAGCCGTCCATGCTTGTAGCCGCCACCACTTCCTGGATGTTTCTAAATGGGGGGGGGGGGTTGCCACCCTGACCTGAATGGCCCAGGCTGAAGCTAAGCAGGGCTGGCCCTGGTTAGTACTCAGACGGGAAACCGCCAAGGAAGTCTAGGTTTGCTACGCAGAAGCGGGTCACGGTAAACCATCTCTGTCCATCCCTTGCCTTGAAAACCCTACAGGGTCGCCGTGACTTGGCTACAACTCAGTAGCACTTTTCACCACCAGGATTTTTGCTGCTGCTGTTCACATCACACGAACACATGAAGCTGCCTTCTACTGAATTGGACCATCGGGTCCATCAAAGTCGGTGTTGTCTGCTCAGAATGGCAGCTGCTCTCCAGGGTCGCAGGCTGAGGTCGTTCACATCGCCTCCTGCCTGATCCGTTTAGCTGGAGATGCCAGGGACTGGCCCTGGGACCTTCTGCATGCCAAGCAGGTGCTCTACCATTGAGCCACAACCCCTCCTCCCATTGGTCTCTGCCATTGCTCTTTTTGGCTTCCGCTGGTTTTTATTAGTATCCATTTTGAGCTTTTCGGCTACTGGTTTCATTGCTGGGTTTGTGTTGCCTGTAGTTGTGCTTCTTGGTATTCCTTTTGTTTCTGGATGGTGATTTTTGAAAAAAAAACAGGTTGCTTACCAGTAACTGGTGATCTTCGAGTGGTCATCTGTGCATTCACGCCAATGGGGATCTAGTGCACCTGTGCTGGATCTGCGCAGGCGCACTAGATCTCATTGGTGTGAAGCACAGAGCCCACGAAGAAGATCATGGTTAGCCACCCTAATTCGGAATTTGTTATATCTAATGAACACGTGATGCTGCCTTTTCCTGAGTTAGGCCAATGGTCTACCATGGGCAGTATTGTCTACTCTGACTGGCAGCACCTCTCCAGGATCTCAGAGGTGTTTCATATATAAGAACATAAGCGAAGCCACATTGGATCAGGCCAATGGCCCATCCAGCCCAACACTCTGTGCCGCACAGTGGCCAAAAATACCAGGTGCCATCAGGAGGTCCACCCGTGGGGCCAGAACTCCGGAAGCCCTCCCACTGTTGCCCCCAAAACAGCAAGGATCATCTGATACCGGAATACTCTGAACAGGAGATACTTTGGATTGCAAGAAGATCAAATCAGTCCATGGTTAGCCACCCTAATTCGGAATTTGTTATATCTAATGAACACGTGATGCTGCCTTTTCCTGAGTTAGGCCAATGGTCTACCATGGGCAGTATTGTCTACTCTGACTGGCAGCACCTCTCCAGGATCTCAGAGGTGTTTCATATATAAGAACATAAGCGAAGCCACATTGGATCAGGCCAATGGCCCATCCAGCCCAACACTCTGTGCCGCACAGTGGCCAAAAATACCAGGTGCCATCAGGAGGTCCACCCGTGGGGCCAGAACTCCAGAAGCCCTCCCACTGTTGCCCCCAAAACAGCAAGGATCATCTGATACCGGGATCCTTTTAACAGGAGATACTTGGGATTAAACCCAGGGCATTCTGCATGCAAAGCAGGTGCTCTACCACTGAGCCACTGACGCCTTTCAAAACAATTTACTGGAGGGCTGTGCAATAAAGCAACTGACAAAACGACAGTCCATCTATATACTCACTTCAGATAGCGCTGCAGTATCAAATGGGCAACGATTCTCTCCAGTGCGTCACGGGGAAGTTTGGGGGCGACGACCTCCACTCCCAGTTTGGACAGCCCCTTCCCTAGCCAGGCATCCACCAACTTCAGAGGAGTGAACTTCTCTTTCAGGCGGTCCACGTGTTCTAAAATCTTGACAAGGTCCTTGCAATGCCTGGTCACATCCATCTTCTCAACCGCTGAGGAGGAGGGGGGGGGGAACAAGAAGACATGAAACCTGACAGAACATGAACTGCTGAAGGCATTGAAATGGGTATCAGATTGCGTCTTCCCTCCAGACAAGGTCCTTCACCCCTCAGCTTCTCCCCCCACCACCCAGAACAATGATGTCGTTGGGGAACGGAGGTCAAAAGCCTTCGCCACAGAAGAGGGGCCCCAGCCATTTAAGAAGAAGAAGAAGAAGAGAAGAGATTGGATTTATACCCCGCCCTTCACTCCGAGTCTCAGAGCGGCTTACAAACTCCTTTCCCTTCCCTTCCCCACAACAGACACCCTGTGAGGTGGGTGGGGCTGAGAGAACTCTGACACAAAGTGCTCTTTTTCAAGGACAGCTGTGCCAGAGCTTGTGACTGACCCAAGGTCACATCAGCAGGTGCAAGTGGAGGAGTGGGGGAATCAAACCCGGTTCTCCCAGATTAGAGTCCGCACACTTAACCACTACACCAAACTGGCTCTCGAGCCACACACCAGAGCCACACACCCCTGACTGACCCAGGATTACTAAGCAACTGTCTGGCAGGGAAACTCCTTCCCAGCTCCCGGTGCAGCAATCAAGGCAGATCCTGGCTGTGACACCAAAGCCTATCCAAATCTTCCCCCAAAGCCAACAGCATGACACCGCCTGTTCCTCCCCACCCAGCCTCCACTTCTGTGAAGTGGGACATTCCTGCCAGTCTTAGACATTCTCTGCACGAATGGGCTGCATTAGTTTCTCATCTACACCACGCCCACATAATTAGATCACTACTTTGCTTCTTCCTGCCCTTCTCGAGGGCTGTTCTTTACTGGGTCTCTAGACCCCCCTTTTTGGCGTCCTTCACTGAAGCCGGACAAGCTCTGTTTTCTCGGCACAGAGACATTTTTTATGATTGTTTTGGGTCAAGTCTGGCAACTGTTAACGGAGTTGGAGCACCTTCCCTAAGAGGAAAGACAGAAGAGAACTTTTTCTCCCTCTCCCAAGATACGAGAACTCAAAAGCATCCAACGAGGCTGATGGGCCTAGGTTCGGGATGGAGAAAAGGAAATACTACTTTACACAGAGAGTGATTAAGATGTGGAATTCGCTGCCAGAGTATATAGTGATGGCCACAGGTATGAACAGCTTTAAAAGGGGATTAGATAGATTCATGGAGGATAAGTCTATCCATGGCTACTAGCTGTGGTGGCTTAGGGGAACTTCCATAGAGGCACTAAGCCTCTGAATCCCAGAGCCAGGAGGCAACATCAGGGGAAAGCCTTGGTCTCCATGCCCTGTTGTTGGCCCTCCAGAGGAACTGGTTGG